GACAATGCTATAACTTCTTCTTGTAGAGGTCAGTAAACAATTAAAACCCGTGTCACCAATCAGGGCTACAGCTACAGCTGAAATTTAAGCCCTCTAGCTAATCATATTGTGGTCGAAATTTCGATTCGCGATAAATTCTGCTGCGGCGTGAAACTTCCATTTTCATCCAGTTCATAGCAATTGAAAATTGAGCATTATTTTTATTAACGATAAATGCAGTCTTAAGCGGTCAGGAGGCTATTATAACTTGTATTATCACAAGACTCTGTGCTTCAGTTAAATGTTAAGCGCTTTAGATATTTAATAAGGGTTCAGAATTTTGATTCGTGATATATTAGATTTTGGAAAATTAAGTGAAATAAATCCTGCTTGTGGTGCGCAGTTTACAATTATAACTTCTATTGGCTTCAAGTTTGAAATTCAATTTTTTTAATGCCACTTACAGCTTCTTTGACAGAGTTTAGTTGGTTTTCTATACTAATTTCCTAATCCTCGCCTTTCTATTCAAAACAGTAGTGAGTCAAGAAATGAACCCTTTTAAGAATGAACGTACAGTTAAAGTAACAGTTAATGGGGGACCAAAGAGCATATATTATTGTTGTAAGCAATGTGAAATAATGCATTACACTCAGGGGTGCAAAATTCTAAAGAGAATAGATGTCGGGTTCGTAATCACCTCATGATTAAAACTGGGGGTATTTATTCAAAAATGGAAACGAACTGCTTTTGTGCATCCTATTAGTTGTTCTGGGATTGCTTTCTAATTCGGAAGGAGCTAACATAGATTGACATAGAAAATTCTTTTAGTGAACACTTATTTAAAATTGCATATCTTGAAATAGTCAATCAAAATTCAATCCAATGAAAAACTGGGTAAAAAAAGAGGGGATGTATAAAAATTGCCACATAAATTAATAGTCTTTAATTGCTTTCTTATTATAGCGATGCTAAAGACACTCAAAACTTTCAATGAAATGCTTCACTGCAAATATAAGTACAAGAGCCGCGATGGCACTGGAGATAGAGCGTTCGCCTTCCAATGAGGCAAACCCGGTTCGAATCCCAGTCGATGCGAATTCCGCATCCGGCTTGCACCGACCACAGTCCTGACGTGAAATATCCTCAGTGGTAGACGGATTATAGGTTTCTCGTGATCTTTCCCTCCATACAACGCAAATGCGGGTTAGCTCCATCAAAAAGTCTTCCACGAAGGCAAATTTTTCCCAATACTCGATCTAGGAGTTCCCTTGTCTTCTGGATTGTTGTTCAAAATTACAAGGCTGCGGAGTTGAACATTAGTAGTCGTAAACCCATAAAATTGGGTCGGCTGTTCAACGACGGATATAAAATAAAATAAAATACAAGTACAAGGAGCCAAAAGAAAAAAGATACCCCATTGAATAAATTTTGTTCTACTAATCGTATTTTCACGTAATGAAAGAGTGACTTTATACTAATTAACTAGTGCTGTGTTGTGGTGGCTCAGAGAATAGAACGATCGCCTCTCAATGAGGTCAGCCAGGTTCAAATCCCAACGTTGGCTGGTCGATATGAAATCTGCACCCAGCTCTCACCGACCACAATGCTGACGTAAAATATCTTCGGTTGTAGACGAATCACGGATTAGAATCCCTTTGCTGTCGTGGTGGGAAGTTTTCGTAATTTTCCATCAAAAAGTGCTCGTTGAAAGCTAATTTTTCCAACTGCGTGGTCCAGGAGTTCCCTTGTCTTCTGAGATGGGTTCAAAATTACTAGGCTATGGGAGTTGAACATTGGTAATCGTAAACTCAGTATTGGATCGGCTGTTCAACACCGGTTATAAAAATAAAATAAATTAGCTGTAATTAATTAAGTTACAAAATAAGAGGAAAAAACATATTTCTGCTTATTAAACACATTCCTTCTGCAAATATTTATTTTTGTCTACAAAAATATGGGAGGTAGCCCTACTCTGGAAAACATGCAAGTTGAATTAGAGAGCGGTCGAAAGTTAAAGTTTTACAATGCTAACTTCATTTTTTGAGTATTTCGCCAAATCTGGGAAACTCAAAACGATTTCAAAACTTCTTGCACACAATTAAAAACACGTTAATCTAAATTTAATTCCATCAAAAATTAATTTGTAACAATTATTTATTAAATATCGTTATTTGATATAATAATAGTTGTAAAATTTTTGAATTGAAACCTATGTAAATTCTTACACGTAAAGCTATTTTGTTTTAAATTACAAAATACAAGATTTGAATGAAATCGATCGAATAGATTATTTTGAGTTATAAAATCTCAAATAGATCGTGGAGGCAAATTTCCTTTTTTCTAAGATTGTTAAGATAAAAAAATAAATATTTTTTTGTAATAGATCGGTAAAAAAAATTCATAAAGATAATTCAAAGGGTAAAAATCATATTAATCGTTCATGTAGAACAGAGTTTCCCAAACTTATGACTTCTGTGTACCCTTTCTAAATTTTTTGTTACGCTGCGTACCACTAATAAAATAATTAATGTATTTTTTTAAAAATATATTTTTTTTTCTCTTTTGGTACAAAATTTTGTAGATACTAATCAGCGATCTATATTCTATGTTAGGGATAAATATTATATTTTATAAAAATAATCAAAATAAGTAGAATTTATTACAAGCCTTTACTGTAAAAAAATTGCACAAAAGTTAAAAATCACAACTGGCTCTTGACACCACTAATTATAACTGTTAACTCTGCAAAAAATAGCCAATCGAAAAATACGAAATCGTAAATTTTAATGGCTAGCTTTGTTCTTAAATTTTTTTTTTGAAATTTTAATTTGTTGCAATATATTTCGTATAAGAACAAGTACCCCCGCTAAACTGTTCCCGTACCCCTGGGGGTACACGTATCACACTTTGGGAAACACTGATGTAGAACATGCATACATTTAAAAAAAACTGAAACAGTTTAAAAACTAAGTTAACTCAACTGGTTTTGAAACCTTAGCGACTCAAGTAATAGTTTTCATTCATCAAAAAGCTGATGAAAGCGTTCATACGAAATTTTAAATGCAAGTGCTCATAACGATTTCCCATCAATTCAGAAATACGCATATAAATATTAACTACTTACACCGTTCTATGAAGCACCCCTCCACCTTAAGTATTAAGCATTTCTCAGAACTTTTGCAATAATTCTCAAAGAATAATTAATAGCCAGCCTAAATGTGAAAATTGCAAATCAGTAAGAAGGAAAATATGATCAAGGTAAGGAGTCAAATTAGTATTCTATCCCCTTTGTGGAAAATAGAATAAATTTTCTTGAGAGTGGTCATGCAAAAGATTTCGTTTAAATGCATCTACATTTCGGAGCTTTGTATTTCTATTCAAGCTCTGGAATGAAATATGAAACACTTGGCCAATCTAAGTGAAGAATCGAACTAAATGTAGAGGGAGCAAGACTCAACAACTTATTGAATTTCTTGACTGGTTGCGAGAATTATTTATGAGGTATAACCTTCTGAAGTTGCGACAGAAAATACAAAAGGATGAAAATAAATTATGAATTTAAAAAAAACATGTGTTGGGAAAATATAGAAATCACAGTTTTAGAGCAAACCTCAATTTTTTAGCGAAGTGCAAAGTTTTAATCTGATTTCAAAGCTGAATTTTGTGCATAATGCTACAATCGGAGCAACGACAAAGCTAAATTTTAAACAAAATGACAAGTTTTAAGCTGAGTGCAAATCTCACTTTAAAATTAAATGCTAAATTCTGAGTGCAAAGCTCGTTTGGATATTTTAATTTTAAACTATAATGTCTTGTTAAGAAAATTGGCTAGGCTGAAACAGAGAAATATTTAGAAAAATTATTAAATTTTTCTTTTTTTTAAATTGCCATTTTAGCGAGATTTATCACTTTACAAAAAAAGCAAAAATAAATAAATAACTTTTCCAACAGTAAAAAGAGCGTAAATGAACCGTAGACTGAAGCTATCAATTTCTTAAGTTTGATCTGATGGAAAAGGAGCTACCTAGATTTCATAGTGTTTAAAATGCAAAATTTAAAGATCAATATAATGCCCGCCGCCTATTAACCCCTTAACGATCGGTTAATTTTCAAGAAAATGGTCATAAAAGTGCCTATTTTTTTGGCTTTTGTATTTGTATTACGTATTTGATTAGTGCTGCAACTAGTTTAAACTCACTATCTACAATTACCTTAAAAATATCCTGGGACTGCCATCAGGTGGGTAAAATGAGAAATAAAATGTTTTCCGGGCAAAAGAAATGAATTAGTTTTATTCTTATTGGAGCGATACTACTGAACACTCCAGCCCGTCAATATCACGGCTAAGAGAAANCACGGGGATTCCTCTGTCGGCGGGATACGTACCCACGAACTCTCGGACATGGGCCCAAACCGTAGGCTGAAGCTCTCAATTTCTTAAGTTTGATCTGATGAAAAAGGAGCTACCTAGATTTCATAGTGCTTTAAAATGCAAAATTTATAGATCAATATAATGCCCGCCGCATATTAAAATCATGTCCGTTCTGGAAATATTTAATTTTATAAGGAAGCTGATTTTATTGGAATGTCTTATACTTAGAAAAAGAAAACCTCTAATTTGAACTTACTAATACAATGAAAGGTTAATTTATTACTACATTTAAATTTTAATTTTTTGAATCTAAATTTAACTTATGGCCTACTTTATAAATATATGTTTAAATATCATAGTAATCAAAATCATTTTAATCACATTTCTTCAAATAAGAATAAAGTATGAGCGTATAAATTCTGCCATGACATTGAATATAAAAAATATCCGGAATATCTAGAAAAGTTGGCAGGCATGGAATTGCATGAAATGATTGGCAGGCTTGAATACACATCACATCTAATTAAAACTAATAAAATAAAGTTGATGGGTAAACAAACTCAATATTTTAACTGCAAAAAATTAATTGGCAATTATTCTAAAAAAATATATATAAAATCATAACTGCACCCAAAGAATTTAATTCGAATTGTATTAAAAATAATTTTATTTCATAAAAATATCAACGTTCATATGCAGCTACTGATGGTTATTAGTTAAACAGGACATTGTTTTGGGTTTAAAGGAACATAATTGTTATCACTTAAATACTCTTTTACTTTCGATATTAAAGCATCATCAACTTCTTTGAGGTCACAATATTTTTCAAACATGTCGCAAACTTCAAACAAGGGATGGTATCTAATCCCTTCCTTGGGCAAATTAACTTTACCTCCTTGGTTTCTATCAAGAACAGCAATACAATCAGTAACAATTAATCCTTCCTTTCTTAGAACCCTAGCAGTTTCTATAATACTCGAACCACTGACCACTACATCTTCGATAATTAGACAGCGATCACCCTGCTTGTAGATTCCTTCTAGAAGTTTCATGGTCCCATATGACTTGGCTTCTTTTCGTTTCATTATTAAGGGAATGTCATGCAGCACTGAGTAGACAGAAGCAGTTGGTAAAGATGTATAAGGTACTCCACACACTAAATCCATTGTGATGTTTAGTTCGTCTACTTTGGATTTTATAGATCCGACGATTTTCCGGGCTATCTTAGGGTAGGCTATAACATGTCGAAGATCGATGTAGATAGGTGATGCTCCACCGGTTTTTAAGTTAAAATTACCGACTTTGAATACGTCAATGTTTAAGAGCTCCGTTAAAAGATCTTCGTTTTTAACCATGGCTTTAATTATCTTGTGTCTCACTCGAAACCAAATGGGACCTTGGAATTAGTTTCCCCGGAAACCTGAAAAAAATTTAAAAAATAAATAAATAAGGCACAAATTAAGGAATAACTAGTTCTGCAACGTGAAGTTCCAAGGATAACGCAGCAAACTGAAGATATTTATCTCATTTCGTTTTATTTAAATCGTTTTTAAATCATTCATCATTTTTGGTACGTCCTGTAGAAAAAAATTGCAAGAATTGTTTTTCAAGTAGGGCTTTCAGGAAAAAATTCGTGCTGTGTACAATATAGCATGCAAAGAAAGAGGGAATATATAAATGAATAGAGCCATCAGTAAAATAATACTGCAAATACATGCGTAGTGCATTACAAAGTAAAATTAGAATTGTATATTTGTATATAAACTTTTAATTTGGATATGGCCATTGACTATGGATAAACTGCTCCAACTTCACGTGATATTAACTAATAAATGTAGGGAGATCTAACGGAGCTACGGACTGAGTTTGACACAAAAAAAAAAAGCGGTAGAAAGCTGCTTGAACTTATTTCATAATGGCAAGATGGTATATACAGTTTAAAATTACAGCTTTGCCTCATGTGTAAGAAAGGTATTTAAATTGTGGCTAATAAGACGAAATATTATTGGATTAATAGTATTATTTTTTTTTTAAAAAAAAAAGAATGGTTTAATATTAAATAAGTGATATTTTTTGAACGGACTTAACGTTCATCACTGCACAATGTTTTTTTTTCTTCTTTTTTTAAAGCAACAATTATTTTTTATTTATTTAATTTTTAAGCAACAGTTAATTTATGTATATATTTGTTTTTCTTGGCCCCAAAAACGAAGGTATTTTTCTCTCAAAGTCGGCAACAAATAATGTAATTAATTGTAAAGTACACAATCAACCAATTTCCATCGTTAATATTTTCCAAATAATGAATAAAATTATTGAGAAGTTTAAAAAAAAATTATAATGTTTAATGCGCGCAATTTATGATACATGTCACACCAATATCTAAAGGTAAAGTATTTTTTTAAAACCATGCAGATATAATGCTGTAATCCAAAACTTTAACGATGTTTTCGAATTCAGGTAACATCTTTCTCAAGGAAAAAAAATTAAATATACAGAAAAATTTTGGTTCTACAAGAAATTTTTAAAATTTGAATCATTTTATAAAATAATTGAGGCAAACATGAAAACATACTTCGCAACGAGTTTTAAGTTTAGGAAAATAAAATTACGTTTTTATTTACTTTCCCTCTCTTTAAAAAACTGATTTTCATTTATGAAAGCTAATACATAGTATAATTAAATATTATCCTGCTCATGCTAGCTTTCGAATCACCAATTATAACGGACGGATGATAATTGGTCTTTCCGAGATGAGATGAATAGAAAATTTTGAAAAAACAATTTTTTTAAACTCAGTTATAAAAATAGCATATTGTTCACAAAAAAGTGTTATTTTATGTGACGACAGAGCTTTCGTTAAACAAGACGTGTGATGTGAAATGTTAAGGATTAAAGTAGAAAGGAATGCTATAGAGCAATTAGAGACAGTTATATTAGAGACTAATTAGTTGGAAATTATATTAGAGACATTTTCAACCTTTTTCAATTCTCTCCTGGTAAAGTCCTAGCACAGGCTGCGTAGCCAAATTATTCAACAAAAAATAAGCTTTTTTCAAGCACTCAAAAAATATTTTAAAGCACTTTAAAAAAATATCATAACTAGGCAGGGTTGGAAAGATTTTGACAATTGGCGGTTTTATCTTGTTTTAACCGTCATGTCAAAAAAAAAAAAAAAAAAAAAAAAAAAAAAAAAAAAAAAAAAAATTTTTG